GAAAGGCAATCACCTTCTCTTGAAACTGATAGTGACTGCCTGATTAGCTTGAGAAAGTTTGAGGCACTTTCGAAGAACATAAAGTGGGCCTTGGCCAACCTGCTAGCCCAGAGCTGATGGGAAGTGATTAAGGAATGGCTCTAGGCCTTCCTGAGGGCAACAAAGAGGGTGTGCCATAGAGTAGCCCAGACAGAGGCATTAACAGACACTGATTTCTGAACAAAGGAGCATGGGAGAGGTAAGATAGGCAAGAAACACTAAACAGTGACTGGAGGGGAAAGACATGGAAGGAAGAACAAGTCCAGTGCTCTGGATAGGGAGGAGGAATCAAGTCTGTGCCTCCTGGGGCTTAGGAGAGGAGGTGGGCTTACAAGGAAGCCTTAGCATGCTGCTGTAGAAGCAAGCTCAGCCCAGGTTTATACACTTGGGGATATTCTGAATTGTCCAGTCTTGTCCCTACCTGTTAAACATGGCATTTTAGCAAATCAGTTTTCTATAGTAGTAAATCAGTTTTCTGACAAGTAGAACTTTTAAAAATTTCACTATTTGCCTAAGAGAACTTCTTAAATATCCAAACAGTAAAAAGCAAACTCAAATATCTTGATGTTTCTACACAACTATTGAATGACTTTTACCTTGTCGCAATTTTAATGCCTTAGCCTCACCAGTGTTACTGTGTAAAGTGACCCTGCACTCGCACAAACCACCAGTGACGTGTAGAATCGCTCATATTTCCTGTTCTGGTCCCAGTTTGATTGTTCTTTCAGCCAATCTAAAATTCCTACATGTCTCTCTACACTGCTGCCTTCTTTCTTAGCTATGTGTGAGAGTATATAATCAGCAACCCAAGTTTCCAGAGCAGTAAAAGTGATATATGGATTTGGCAATGTTTTCCTCCATACCTCAACGAACTTAACCCAGACACACAACAAAGTGTTTACATTAGTGCAGTGGAAAAACTGCTGAAGAGCTGACTGTAATTCTAACAACAGTTTTCTTTTAGGCCGAGATGGAGATCAAGTTTCATGTTACACTGGTTTCTCAAAATCTGAGCTTTTTACTATATTTTAAACCTTCTATAACGCAGTTAGCCCTATAGCTCAGTTCAAGATGGAATTTCCTAGCACTTATCTGCCTGGAGTGGGTTATTCTGCTTTCTTTTCTGTTACCAAATGTGTATGTACTCATGGTGTTTCAAATTACATCATTAAAGAATCCAATAACAAACAGCCAAGCAAATAAAAACAAGTTTCAGTAAATGATCATGTTGCCATGCCAACTGAAGGTATTTATGATCTGTAGATTTTACTAAACCCCATACCACCCTTACCCAAACACTTTGCTGTTTAGTATACATAATTATCAAAGACTTTCTCGATTTTAAAAAAAGGGAAAGGCCTTTTTCCCTATTATTCTGGACTTTACTATAGTTTCCAAAATGAGTTTAAGTTGTGGTTGGCTGCTTTGTTCGTTTTTACCTTTGATTACTTTCCTGCAATAGCTAAAATCTGTTCTGATTTTTTTTCTGTGGCACCTAAATCCACAATTTAGGCATCACTGGGCACATCTACATGTGAAATGAATGTGGCACAATAAACTCTGACACACATAGTGCTGCAGTTTGTTTCTGGGTGTTGTGTTCACATGTGCGCCCAAGACCGCAACACATTGAGCTGGGTTGGAGCAGTGCTAGCTGGCAGGGGGACAGCCTGCCAGCCCAGGGCTGCTCCCATCCCATTAAGCATGCTGTGGAGGGGCTGGCTGGTGCATAAGGGTGCTTCAGTGTGGGGCTAGCCGGCAGGCAGCCCCCACAATGAAGCACCCTCACGCCCCCACCAGCCCCGTCAGTGTCTACACATGTGTTGCTGTGCAGTAAATAATACCACCTCAGAATAGTACTTGTATTTACAAGTAATAACCTACGGCAGCGTTTATTAGTTTACTGCAGCCTAATAGGGCAGCGCACAGACACTGACACTTTACTGCAGAGCTAATTAGGCAGCTCCACAGTAAATGTCTTGCACAGGCAAGCCCACTGACATCCTTAAAATCATTTTTTGGCTACTGCTAAATACTGTAGGCACATAAGTTTCCACTGGTGGATATATGCAAAGCCATTTAAGTACTGATCCTATTCAGCGCCATAGCTTAACCTGAAGGCTTAGATACCCCCATGTCTGTTTTACAAGCCTGGCTCAATCCTGCAGTACATTTTGAGCACACCTAAACCAGAAGTTACCTGCATAGGAGTCATGTACTTGTCCTTCTCTTCAGAAAAAGCCAGTAATCTACTGGCTAGAGCAGGGTGGAAAAAGTCTGGCCCACTGGCCGGACTGAGCCCATGGTGGACTCCATTCCCCAGCAGCTCTTGTCTGTGTTGCTGTAGTCAGTTTCCACGGAGACCCCAGTAGCAGTGGCACAGTGACAGCGCAGGGCCAGTGTTTCCACAGAGACTAGCTGGTCTGGAGCCAGGGCAGGGCTGTGATCTGCTGCCCACACTCCTTGGGCGGGGGTATCCAAGTAGCGGATGACAGCTCTACCCCGGCTCCGAACCACACTGTCACCACTGCAAGACCCCAGCCCAACCACATGCCCTGCCAATGCTGCTAGGCCCTGCACTGCTACTACTGGGGTTTCAGTGAAAACTGGCCACAGTGACATGGGCAAGGGCTGCTGGGAAATGGAGTCCAGCTGGCCATTGGATCCACTGTTTTGCCCACACCTGGGCTAGGACATTCCCTCAGGATGCATAAGGCCTAGTTTTGACCCCTGCTTTAGATCAAGCAGAGCAGAGATTTGAACCTGAGTCTTCCAGAGCTCCGGAGAAGGCTCAGCTCTCTCCTGTAGGGGCTGTTGCAGTTTGTGAAAGCAGTGACTGGAAAAGATGCTTGCGCTTCTGTTTCCCCCATCCTATATAAGTACTAGGACTACTGGTCTGTGGAGTTGGTCTTTTTCTTTCATTTGACCTGGCCCACTGTATATTTATTTACACAACTTTAAGTAGCTTCAAGAGGAGAGATTGTTCACCCAACGCACCTCAGAACTTAACAGCTTGATACTCAGCTGGGATACCAGATTCAAGACTACATTTCTGCTTTGCCTGATTTAGAGTAGGGGTTTGAATGCTCATCTGCCTTCGCAGTAACAAGTGCTTTAGCCCCTAGAGTTTTGAAGCAACCAAAATTAAGTGCCTAACTGCAGGTAGGGTTCACAGCAAAGGATAATAAATGAAGGGAAGCATTTATTTCTGGCTAGACCAATTGCTCAGCTCTGTCTGAACTTCACCAGTTTCTACCTCGATTTAACTTAAGGTGAGCTTTTCATCCAAAGAAGCCCAGCTTGCTCTCTATTGCAGTGGTAGCTAGAGTTACTCACCCTGGGAGCCCCATCCGATCCTCCACTGAAGCCATCCCCCGCTCCACTCTGGAGTGCTGAGCGACCTGGACTGGAGGTGACCACCACCCCCTGCACGGCCGACCTGCTCCAGCTTTCCCCACAGGGAGCACACTCTGGAGTAAGCAGCGTGGCTGCAGCCCCCACCTCTGGCAGCCCCCGAGCCCCTTCAGGGAGAAGCGGACATGGCTTTGGCAGAGAAGTCCCCGAAGAGTACCACACCAGTGAGCCACATAAGGCTTGGGAGCCACAGTTTTGTCACCGTGGCTCTATTGTGTAAGGGAACAAAATACTATCAGGCCACTATAATTCCCCTTTGATGAAGGGTGTTACTAGCAAGTTGCCCACCAGCTCTTGATCAACAGACTGAATGCTCCTAGTTTTCATGCACTAAGCTCATGTTTTTTGTGCTAGTAGGCTCAGGTGTACCAAAGAAAAACCTGTCTTGCTTTAATATAGTAAAAAGCAATGTTCAGTAGTGTTCTGGAGTCTCTGATGATATTCCTGTCCTACCAGCTGTGCCCTTACTTGACGTCTATGTTAGTGTAAGCAAGCAGTGTTGGAGACTCTTGAAATCTAGAAATTCAGAGAAGATATAGTTTGAGTTGCAATGCTGTAGCCTTATTATTGTTGCCAAACATTCAAAGGGCCTTTCCTCTGGAAAATATTACCACGTGGAGAGGTCAGCATTGATATTATGAAAGCCTCTTGAAGAGGGAGCAGATAGTATACAGGAAAGGAACATCAAAGCGGATGAGTTCTCCATCCCACAGAAGCTGCTCTGTACATGACATTATCTATCAGAAAAACTTGAGGCAATATCAGAGAAGACAAGTAAGTTTTCAATCAGTCTTCAAAAAAACTCTTGAGCTGTCTGTCAAAAGAGCTGCCAGTGCTCTGATCCTGCAGGTGAAACTAAGTACTTGAGAGGATTCTTCTAGACAACGTCAGTGACGCCTTTGGTGTTTTGTTTCCTTAAAGGGAAAACAAAGGTGGGTGATAGAAAAACCACTCTCCTGCCCAACAATACCATGGTTATTCTTCTACTATTTGCATCTTTAAGTGGATATTGGGGAATGATAGGAGCTTCTGTCTGTTTATAAAGTTCTCCATGGAAGTGACTGTTACTTGTATAGTCATTTCTCTAGATATTGCCCTACAACACTGACAACTACCCTGAACCTTCTGAAAGGTTGTTGGATACTCAAGTGCCACTTCCTGGTCAACCTACTGCCCCTGGTTTGCTAATGTGAGCGTTACATCTAAAAAAACTCTCACTGAAACTGTCAGAAAATGTAGAACATTATTTCTGATACTACTGTATAGTATTTTGGAAAATGTCAACATTTAATGATAGAAAACAGTTACCAAGGTTATGTTGGACCTGCTGTTGTGTATATAGAACAAAATTATTCCTAGGACTCAGCCTTTAGTCACATCTTGAATGAATAAGAGAAGTACTTGCACTGCAGTGAACACCTAAAGATAGTTCCTAATAGTTGTTCAATTTTGTCCCATAAAATTTAATAGTCAATTTCTATTTTATAACAGGAAGCCAAAAACATTGTTAGACCATTTGACAACTAATATTTCACTCTCTCTCTCAGAATGTGAACGGTATCAAGTACCATGCCAAGAATGGCCACAGAACACAGATCCGTGTACGCAAACCATTCAAATGTCGTTGTGGAAAGAGTTACAAGACAGCTCAGGGCCTGCGGCACCACACAATCAATTTCCATCCCCCAGTGTCTGCTGAGATTATCAGGAAGATGCAGCAATAACATGCTGGTCACAAATGTGCCAAGAAATCCTCACCAGCAGTTGCTGATTTTGAAAACAGCCACCTTTTTCAGGGGAAGCATTCAGCAACCCTTTAAAAAATTAAATGCATGCTTTAAATTTTTCTGTAATTTTGGAATGATGTATCTTTGTAGAGTTAATGATTTTGTACATTTGCACATGTAATCATCATACCCATTTTCATTACTTTGAGATAAGGTGCTAAAAAGCTATAGATTCTTCAGAACATTTTTCTCCAAAAAAAAATTTTAAAAAATAGGGGTGTTGCATATTTAGTTGTACTGCAGTGTTAAATATGAGTATGGGGAGGGAAGCTTGGCACTGACATCATTTCAAGATTGTAATGTGATTGAAGACTTTCAAACACATCAGTTAACGTATGTACAAAACCAAAACAATACCAACATTGTCAACCTGGTTAACATGCCTTATTGTAATGAAGTTATCAGTGGGGTAGCAAGTCTTTAGGTATTGGAAATATAAATAAGAATGTTTAACATAATATGCTAAAAATATTTTCATACTTAAATAACATACATAAAAGGTGTGCTTGCTGTATTTTATATTATCTTGCAATTTTTTTCTTCTTGAAATGCTGAAAGATCTTGCCATTTGAACTAGTAAACAATCACTTTAGTGTTAGGAATTACTACTACTTTTCCTTTTTTTTTTTTTTGTACAAGATGTCATATTAAGTTCATGCCCATCAGACTTTTGAGGACCAAGATTCCAAGTCCAACTAAATATTTTCCCCTGAATTATGCTGTTAGAAAGACGCTTGGAAATACTTAAGTGCAAATTTGTGTGTGTGTGAGAAAATTATATCTTCATCTCAGATGAAGTTTTAAAGCACTTTGTAGTTCTCTATTGCCAACAGATTTTATGTTTTATGTGTTGCCAATTCTTGCAACTACTGTACTAGCATGTGCCTGTGGTTGCAAATAAAAGTTTTTAAAAAACCTAAGCATGTTTTAAGGAGGTACATGATTTGCGTTAAGGGAATTTCTATTGAACCTCCTTCATGTTCATTGTATTTTAAGATTTTTTTTGTATATTTTTGCCTCTTATTGTAGGTCACTGCATTCTGATTGGAAATGTCTGTTTAGCTTTACAAATCCATTTGCTGAAAATTAACATATGAGCCTTTATGATGCTGAAATGCTTCTTGCAGGAGGTGGACAAAGACTGACATAAAACGAGTCATCACAAAATAACTTAGTGTCTGGACCATAACTGAATATTTATTGCTTACCTTATCATCCTGCTTTGAGCATTCTCTCACAAGTGCTGCTCTCAGATTACCAATTTAGCTTACCAATAGTCTATTTATGCAACCTCTTCCCCCCAAATTGAGGCTTATATCCCATGAAAAAAATATGTATTTAAAATGCATTTCTCTTTTTCCTTAACCTGGTGTGGATTTTCAGACAAATGGGAAATAGCCTCTCCATTTAAAAAAAAAGATGATTGCTGGCCTTCAAAATGTTTTGAACTAGATAAATGAACTTCCTTTTAGAACTGCTGAATACTCACTTAGGGGTTCTGAAAGTGTAAACAGTTTCTCCTTTTACATATATTCCATCCATTTCAATCTTGAACAGACAACAGTGGTTGTACAATGCAATGCTTTCAATTAGGTATAAAGGATGATGCAGACTTAAGAATCAATTTGTTGGTACATAAAAGCCCCATTTGGCCATTTCTTCTATAGTTTGGCAATAAGTCTGGAGAGCAAGTATTGTCTCAGCTCCTACTGCAAGAAACTACAGGTTGGATAAGCAAGTTTAACAGCTAAACAGTCATAAAATGTCATTGTTGCATGTCAATTCCTTTCAACTATCAAAATGAAATTCCAGTTTCTATTTACCTATTCATTGTGACAGTATTATTAAACAGGTAAAGATGGGACTATTTTGTTATACTGTGTATAGTGAATGTATTGTACTGTGTCTGTGAAAAGTGTGCTTTAAATTATATTTTCATATGTTTTGTTGGGGACAAAGTACATTAAGTTCGAAAGTGACAGAGGTTTGTTTTAGAACTGAAGGCAACTTAATGAATTCCTGTCAAGAAAGCTGCTTATAAATGTAAATCAAATCACATTTAAAATAAACTGCCTCTGACTGAAAAACAAATATGACTCGTCTTTGGTTTTAAGAGTGATCAGTTTGGTTTACATACACTAATGCTATTTTTATGCATTATTCAGTTCCCTGTTATGGTAAAAGCAGCAGAGCATTCAGCAACCCATTTAAGTATCAATTAGGTAGAATGAAACAAGATGTTCTTAGCAAAAATCAACACTACAATATGTGGCATATTTTAGTTGTATCCAGCAGTGTCCCCGCTCCCCCGGGGCCAACCTCCTTTCTTTATATAAGAAAGCTGTGATGGTGTCCATTCTGTTCATATACCACATGAGATTCAAGATTCATCAGTTAAAAACTGATCCTTACATATTCTCCTTTGATCCAATTTAGCCCTTATTTAGTGGCCTTGGATATTCTTCTTTTCTTTAGGGAAAAACATTTTTAACTCCTAAATACTCCAGTGGTTTTGATGCCCAGCTGAGCACCACGTATATGTTTTATATTTATAAATACATACAAACCACTCTGTCACTCACACTCTAGGGAATTTACTCTGTAAATCTTCCTAGAATACTCTGGCAAAACAAGTATCGACCTGTGCTTCAACACAAACTGGTTTTGAGGTTGTTTTCTGTCTTTGGTGCCCTCTACAGCCATCACAGTGGGACTTCTTAAGTCTTTATTTTTATCTTTTCAAACATGTTCTGTGCATATGTTTTATATACTAGTAAGAATGAAAGATGAACCAAACAAAATACTGCTGAATATGCACTAAAATAGTTGAATGTTGTCAATCATGTACATCTCTCTATAGATAGATAGAGCACATGATTGACAACATTTATATAAATAAATAAAACCTTAGTTTAAATTTTAGGGCAATCTTTGGCTGAATATGCAACCACCACTTGGTCCTGCGTGTTAATTTTAGGTTCTAAAATTCTGTTGCCCTAAATTTTAAACCAAGGTTATTTTATTTATATATAACATGGTTGCTGGTCACCCTTGAAAAACTGTATTATCTATGTAAATAAAAAAGGAATACAGAAAAAATTACTCAGTACCTTAATACCTCAAGCATCTCATCCAGATAAAAAGATAGAGATAAGCAACCATTTGTGTTTGACAAATAGTGAAGTCATCTTTCACACCAAGAACATTTTTTAAATCAAGTCACGTTTTCCTGAGTGAATGATAAAACAGGGAAAACCAGCCTTCAGGAACAACTTCGCTTTTAATGCAACAAGACTACTGTACAACAGGTAGAGAGCAACTTATTATCCAAAAAAAATAACTTTCTCAGTTTAGATAATACATTGTTAAGTAATTCCTTGAAGTGTTTGGATATATGTGCTGCTGGTACTTAATGTAAAATAATGTGCACAATTAAAACGGAGAAGAAAGAAACCCAATCAAAAAGAATACAAGGTTTTTTACTGAATGCAAATGCAACTGATTGGTGGTGATTTTTATATAATTATTTCTAAGTAATCTAAGCACAGCAATTTATTTCAATTAATAAAAATACTGTCTTACAGTATAACATTACTTAGTTGAAGGTTATCCCCTAAAACAAATATTTTTATATGTAAAAGTAAAGTATTTGCCATTTATTTTTTGTTACAAGCATGTAAATCTCATAAGACATGCAACTACATTTCAGAAATGGATTAGAAAACTATATTTCCATTAGGTAAGTTACATAACTTTATGCATCAACTATATCCAAAGAAATAATACACAAGATTACTATGTGAAACATCTGTTTATTACATACTCTATGCTTTAATGTTTAATCATGCTCCAATTACCATGGTCAAGAGATACCTCTGTTCATCCTGTAAAATAGTACAGCAACAAGAAATTGGGTCTACTTTTTCTATGGATAAATCACAACCAAGTTATCCCTGTCTCCTTACAAATTTCACTGAACAGGAATAAATACAGATACGTAAGGCTTTTTTTCCTTCTAAAATGTTACATCGAGAGTCTAAACCAGTAACAGTTGATAGCCAAAGATATGCCTGGGATCCAATTACACAGTAGAGCATTACTAGCACTTAAGCAGAAATCTGCATTAAGTTATATGAAAGCTGCATGTTCCTGTTCTATAGGTGGACTGCCCACTCTAGGTCTTTTTTGCAATTAAGTTGAGAAAAGAAAAACGCAAATGCCTCCTCTAATCAAAATTTAACACATTTGAATCAAAGTGAGTTTGCACGTGCCTCTCAAAGCCTTGCTGATTGTAGTCCGGAGGAAACTGCTCACTGCACATGGGGCACACTTTCCAGTGACTTTCAACATGTTGTTCAAACTTGCTCTGGTCATAGTTAGGTGGAAACATCACATCACAGAGTGGACACTTCTTGTGCAGATCAAAACTTGGGTGGGGGGAGAAAGAAAATTAACCATTAATATAATTGACAGAAGCAAAAATAAAAGATCTGATACTGATGCTACTGAAGTCAATGGGGGTGTTGCCATTGATTTATATGAGAGTTGGGTCAGGCCTTAAAAAGTCCAGGTAACTTAAAACTGATTAAACCTGACATTAGCAAAATGTTCAGTATATTAAAATAGCTCTACACTGACATTTCAAAATCACAAAACTTGAATCATTTTGACATAATTCCAGTTACAAAGCTGGAATACAAAGCTACTGAACATCTTAATGGCCAAGCAGTTTCATGGAAAACCACTTCCCCTACTCATAAATACTTGCTCTTAGCAAATGCAACACTTTTTAAAAGCTGTAAACTCAGGGTCAATTAGGTTGGAAAGAAAAGAAATAAAAAAGCAGTTTTTCATTCATGTTCCCATAATATTGCCACATTCAGTGAAATGAGCCAGAATGGTAACAGCCTTCCCTAATAAATAATTCCCTGATAAATAATCATAACACAAATGCTGCCAGAAAATTCTGGGCAATTTAGCAGCATTCCTTTGAGTGAATAAATCCAGGAATATAAGATTATCTATTCCACTGCACAACAGTACAATAAAGAGATATAAACTCACCTGGAATCAAAACAAAAACTTGTTCCCCGCTCATGCAAAAGCAGACTTGGAGGCTCAGGAGCAGAAGGTACAGTGTTATCATCCTCCTGCAGAATAAGAGCGCAGTAAAATATATAGCCTCCACAAGAAACTGTTTTGGGGGAAATTACTTTTGCTATCAGGAGAAAGCTTAGGAACTAGGTTTTCCTCTCTTATTTAAGAACTTGTGCTCCGGTATTTTGATTAAAATATATAACAACCAAGACAACAGACATGCCTACTAACAAAAAGCTAAATAAACTGCTTTTTGACCATGCACAAACAGCTAAATCCATGCAAGTGCATCTATGCAAGAAACTTTACTAATCTAATGCACAGGTAAGCATCAAGCAAATTTGCTCCCAACGGGCACATCTTCAGATGTATGCGGGGGCTCAGTTTAATACGTCTGAATTTTCTACACAGGTCACCTTACTACAAATGCCTGAAATGCCTGGGGGTCAGATTACAACAAAAAAGCTGTGTTAAACCCAATGCTGGGCCCCAGATTACAAGCCATAACAACATTTTACTGGAGGACTAAAATTCATAACTAAAATTCTAGATAACAGACTGTCACATTAGACTCTTAGAATATGTCAATTTGAATTTCAGCGGAGGGAAAACAACATTGATTTAGATTCACATGCTTGGTCCTCGCCAGTCAGTTTTGAGTGATCTGTATATGCTGCTTTCACCAGCCAAGCATGTCACATTTCACACAGCAGTCAGGCACATCAGCTAAATTGCCCTGTTTGGCCGCTTCCTCTCATCAGCTCTGTCAATCGTACTTTCATTTCATGAACACTAACAGCAAATAAATAGCTTCAGCATGCACTAATGAGGATCACTATGCTGATGGACAACAAGGTTTGCCTGAGAACCTCTATCAAGGCAGGCCTGCCACTGCACAATATACCCTCTCCTCCCTCCCTCCATGCTCCCCTAATCCATCTGTGATGTAAAATTCTGCAGCTGAATAGCTACAAAATATCCTGTACCAGTACTTCAATTTAGCTCTGCTACTTATTTTCTGGCAAGGGAAAAACCACAGCAATGCAGTGTTTTGGTTTCATTTATAATAATGTCTCAGTTAAAATTTGCCTGCATGGCTGCTGTGGTGTAGCACAGCTGAATGAAGGACACAAAGAATAGGAGAAAGGAAAAAAAAGTGGGGGGAGACTTAGACTTGCGCATACGTTCTTTGCATGAAGTACAAAGCTACAAAAAGCCTGGTTGTTTCTACACATCTTGGTTCCATTCTACGTACAGAGGAGGAAAGTAGGATGCGTCTCATAAGTAAGCTCTGCCGCTCTACAGAATATGGCAAAACCTCTGAACCACCAGATGTTCCATTTTCTATATTCATTTCTCTCAATTCCAGTGGTGCGGTTTACACATGAATCATGAATCGTGATGTTGCAAATTTCGCCCCGCCCCTCCAAAAAACAAATGTGTACATACAAAAGGATGGCTGCAATTACATGTCTAGTGTGCATGGTTGTTTTTAAATGCTTTCAAACAACTCTTACCCCTCTATTCCCCATTTTCTGTTAAATGGGCACACTGTTTCCTCATGAAACCCAACAGAGATGAGACAGGATGTGAAGATTCCTTCCACATTTCTCCCCCTGAACAACAGATGTTTAGTTTCAGCCACTTAACATTTTCATTAAGCAGCTAGTGGGCCTTGGTGCAGCAGATGCTAGCAACACACATTCATTTAACTTGCTTGCCTAGCACCTGCACTGAAAGAGGCATGTGGATTTTCAAGGCACTATTTGTTCTTTTTCACCCTGGAGGACAGTGCTAATACTAATGAGGGAAAACTACTGGTTGTGATCTAAAGATCTAAAATGTAGTAATACTATGTTCTAACAACTTTGTCTTGTAACTGAAAACCCTGAGAGAAACATGGACAAAAAATGGAAAACCATATTCTGAGTACCATACTTTATGGTTTATAGATTGATACAGTGTACAAGCTGACCCCATATTTCTGCACAAAA